TCGGCTTGGGGATATGGAGAGAAAAGCTTGCCAAGTTTTGTGTAGATTGAGAAATGAAGGAGATGATGCAAAAGAGGTACTCCATATGCGTGCATAGTAAAACATAATGATTATTGCTATTGTGCTCTGTGAATGAGTTTTGGCATCAATAACTAATTACTTTTTGTATAAGGCCCTGAAAGAAGTATTTTCTTCAAATTATACAAAGCAAATTGATCCAGATTTTGGGAGCACCCGTGAAACAGTTCTTCAGGTAAGACATTACAGAGTTTGTACTACAGCGTTCAATCTACATTGCAAAATTATGAAAAATTATTTCTAAATTTTGTGCTGTTGGTTGGTAGAATTTCTTTTTCCAAATTCAGCTTGTTTTCTTAGTCAAATGAGGAAAGTAACATATCTGACTCAGGTTAATAGTGAGAATTTGTTAAACTGTAATCATTGTTAAGACAATCAAGCTGCAGATTTGTCCTTTCTTTATTTCATACGTGATCGAGTAAAAAAGTCAAGAGTTCTTATTTCCCTGAAATGTTCTGATAAGCTAATTCTGATGGTACAATCGAATAGCATGCCTGAGGCTGTTGTATATGTGATTTTCTTCCTTGGAGAAAATAAAAGAAAACAAATAGCTACAAAATGTTCAGTATTATTTCCCTAAAAATCTAGTTAAATGCTCAAGATCAGGTAGAAATATAACATAATAAGATATAGCCATCATCAGTTGTGTAATAGATTTATGTTTCTACCTATGATTGGTACAGTAACAAAAAGAAGGTATTTGCAATAAAGATATCTACTTTATTCTTAAATAAAATGGTTTAGACCAACATAAGGATCGACTATTAGGAAAAAAAATTTTAACATGCATGTTTAGCAGTGAACATGAATCCAAGAGGATCCACAAGTAATATGTTATGGAGGTGCTTTGAATGAAGGCCTACTTTTTTTTTGGGAAATAGAATGAAGGCCTAATTATGTGGATGGGGTTAGGTTTGCACAATTTTGAACCTTGGGCCGGTATGTCATGTTCAATAATTAGATAGATAATAAATGGTTGAAAGCATGATTTAGTTCATGTACTATTTACTTTTGCTCAAATTAGTTTCTGTACTTTTGAAGAAATTTTCAATTTAATCCATTTCTTTGGTAGAAGCTCATACCATTAACTTATAGAAATTAACACCGTTAACTTAGGGTGTTGTGTGTTAAATTTATTAGCACGTACCAGCTTCTTATTGGTCCGAGTGTTTAGTTGAATACTATGTTAAATGTTTCATGACAGCTGATTTTACATTTCTTTTAATTTGGAGTTGTTAAGTTTGGACCAGTTTGAATCACTCCAAATGAAGAAAAAAAAACAAAAATTCTTAATTTCTCTAAATCCCTAAAATGCATTCTCGAGGTTGCCTTCTTCTTCCTCCTCCCACGCTCCCCCCTATCTCTGTTAATCTGCACATGTTCCATACATAGTAATCAAAGAGTAATTTTGATTAACATGAGGATTTTCGATGATTCAGAGCTGGAGGATTTGTGCACACGATGAACACAAAAGAGTAAGTGAAATTATTTGGCTTTAAGCCCTGAAACTTCACTGGTTGTCGAGTTTGATAGTGGCAGATATTTTCATCATGCAGTGGCTAGTCTGCAGACCATGACATTGAAAGTGTGGTCATCTAGTTCCTGCATTTTAGTGAAAAGACCGGAGGAATAAGTGTAGTCGTGGAGGTTAATTGCTTTAGAAAGAAAGTTTGCTTTTTCAATGGAGTTTATGAGCGTTTGTATATGCGACGTGTAGCACCTGCACAGGATAGAAATAGAGTACCTGAAACAGAGCTGAATGGGAATCAGAAAACAGAGCTAAACATAGCTCGAAAAACAGAGGAAAAAAGAGCAAATCAGCATGCTAAAACTAGAGCAAACCTGCATGCGAAAACTAGAGCAAACCTGCATGCGAAAACTAGAGCAAACCTGCATGCGAAAACTGAGCAGATTTGTGCATGAAACAATAGCGACTAAAAAACTGATCTTGCAAAACAGAAGGCGGCTGGGTGTCGCTATAAAGGCCGGCTGGGTAGAGCAAAAGCGTCCCCATCATTGACTGTGCCTGGCTGCGGCTCAACAGAGACTGCGTGGGATTGGTTTCCCAACTATTAAGGCTCGTCTCGTTTGGGGTTCTTTTTTATTTTTTTCTTATTTTGGCACTTAAGACCGATCAGGGTTTGCAAAAGAGTCATGGTTTCTTTAACTTAGGGTTTTGATACCATATTAAGAATAGTTTAATATGTATTTTAATGAATATTACAGTATTACGTGTTAGATGGAAAAGGAAATATACAATAAATTACAATTAACTATAAATTATGTAATTTATGTTTATACTCTTTAACCTAATTTACCCTTTCTTTGATAATATTGTATGTTCTTTTTCTGTTATGGAGACCAATTTCTCCAATATATGTGATTCAACGGCTTCAAAGCTTTGGTGGAGGGTGTGATCTCTGTTGTGTTCCTTGCAACCTGGTTCTTCTTGGCTAGTCTCTCTTGGGAGTTTTGAGTTCATGCTTGGTTAAAAACTGTTCAGTCAATCATGAGAAGATCTTTAAACCTTTCTTCCCATCGTTCAGGCTAATTGAACCATTTTCTCTGAAACATAAAATTCAAGTACCATGAGAATTTTGGAACTCATTTGTTAAAATGTGCTAGTGATCCTTCATCTGTTGCTAATTGTTTATGTTTTGTATATTGGTAGAATGCATAAACTCATAGAATTGTTTTTCCTTTTTGGGAAAAACCAAAGAGGCATTAAGACCTAATTTTGTTTCCCTACTTTGGTTTTAAAGCCTTGCTATCTTTTTTGGGTATTTATGTTTGAAATTTAAGTTCTTTCCCTGTTAATTTTGGTTTTCCTTACGTCAACAGTTGTGCACGGTCCCATTATCTTTCCACAATTGTTAGTGACATTCAATTAATTAATTAACTTGTCACAGGTTATTTCCAATCTAACTTCTGTTCAATCATACTTTGATGTTTTCTCAAAAGAAGTTGACCAAGAGGTTATGGTATGCATGCTAACCTTTCGACTTTCTATATTTAAAATTTTCTAAAAAAAATTCTATATTTAATTATCTGATCTTAAAAATATTTTAGGAACTAGAGGAGGCTGAAATGGAATTGGATATTATTCGAAAGGAGCATGCACCACAAGAGTCCTTAAAAGATTTCAAAGAAGAGCATCGAATCCCATATCTTACCTGTAACAATTTCTCCCCAGCAATGCATGATATGATTGTTGCTTCAGAAATTTGGATTATGCCGTCTTTTAATTGTTTTTTTTCTGCTGTCCAGCTTCTGTAAAGGATGATAACCGTCTTCAACAGATCAAGGACAGCATTCGAGCCTTGTATGTACTGATTTCAAATTTCAGTTGGTTTTGTAATTTAAATGCTATTCACTGTGAAGGAGGAGAGGGGAAAAGGAAAGTCTTATAAATTATAGAAATTACTTTCTTTTTCTCCTACTTCAAGTTAGTATTCCATTCATGTTTGGTTAAGTTTCAATTCTAATATGTTGACTTTCTGGCTAAACTAGTGGCATCCTTGCGGAGTTGCTTCTCTGGGTAGCCTGTATAGTTAAAGAAGCATGTGAGATGCTGTTAGTTACTTTAGTTGTACGATATTTTATCATGCAATTTGCGTAACTCATGTTTATAGAGACATAATAAAGTGTGTAAAGCTAGGATAAAACATGCAGGAGTGTCTAATTACACTTAGCCAGGTTATCTGGACATTTTAGGACAGAATTATGCTTAATTATGATTTTGCCTTTCTCCCCAAAACTTTAAGACTATTATATTTCCCCTGAATATGTAAGGCTGTGAATGAAACATAATTTAACTCGTGTCTTTGGTTTGATGACTGTCGAACTTCAGATGTGCGTAATCTTTAAGAAACAAATTTAGACTTATGTTGCCTATTGCTTTACAGATTGATCGAAATTCATAGACTTACATTCAGAGAATTATTATCTAATAATTGGAAAATTCGCTTGTTATCAGAGAGAAGTCCAAAGTCCAAGAGGAAATATCTGCACGCAGGCAAAAGAAACTTCTCATGAGATGTACGCGTCAAAAATATCTGGAAGCAGCAGCTTTACGAGAAGCAGAGCTTCTGCAAGAACTTGATAGGTTTCTGTTGTGTTCTCATTATGCAGCTATTATCATTTTGAAACTAAATTATTAGTTTTGTAGATTGAGGGCATATCAATTGATTTATGGTCAATCTTTTGTGGATCAGGGAGAGGACAGCTGAACTAGAAAAGGAGATTGAAAGACAACGGTTGCTGGAACTTGAGCGTTCAAAGACCAGTGAGCTTCGGCATCAACTTGAGATGGAAAAGGAGAGACAAATGCAGGCAAGATGTTTCCCAATTTTTTCTCATTATTTATTCATTTTTTTGGAAAAAGAAGTATGCACAAGCCACGAAGGGAGTGTTGCAAACAAATTTTAGACCCTTCATGTTTAGATAGTAATTACTCTCAACCTTGTTTCACTTGCTTGGATGCATTTTCTGATACTTTTTTTGCCTAATATGGCTAATTTGGACCAAGAGTATGCTAAAGTAGAATTTTCATAGTCTAGCCACAACTTATCCTGGCTTTTAGTTCTCTTAAATTATATATTGTTTTTGCTTGGTGGTATCATAATAGTACTCAAGCATAGCTAATTTTTTAAGTTTCCTCTTTCCCTATGCTGAATGCATCATCTGCTAAAGGTTTGCAAATCCCTAGTGTCTGATCATGGGACTACCACTATCTGTAGTTTCATATCTTTGCTTTTGGAGTGATGCATGAGTTTGTGTGTAGAGAGAACTTCAGCGTGAACTGGAACAAGCTGAATCTGGAATACGATCACGACGTGACTTCTCTTCCTCTCACAGTAGGTAAGTACTTTTTTATGGGGCTACAGTTTGGGATGGCTTTTCTTAATAATTATTTCGTAGTGATTACCTGATAAAAGAAGGGATCATATTAAGATATAGGAATAAAATGTCTCAGGTAACCCCACTTTTTATCCTTGAGTTGCAACCTATGGTGCTCTTTTATGAATTATTTTTCTTATAAAATATGTATGAAAATGAAATGGATGTCCTGAATACATAAGATATATGGGATATTGGCTCATGATTCTGTTATTTTTCCTCTTCCAGTTGCAAAATTCTTAAAGTACCTTGGAAATATTCTTGTTATGAATGTTTCTAGGATGATGATCTCCAGCCTGACAATAAATATTCAAACTAGCACATGTTATAGTACACTTAACTAGTGGGACACTCCATTATAAATATTTTTTCTTCCCATTCTAATGGCTGGTCAAATAGATCCATAGTGGTAAATTGCTGATATTTGTTTATATGTTTGATAACTTGCATTTTGAGTTCTATAGTTTCTCAAATGGCTTTGTTTGGTTGCTTGATAAAGGGGACCTGCATTTGAGCTTTATTATTCTCTGTAACCTTTTCTCTTCGGTTCTTAAAAATCTTTAATTAATCGTGTTTTTTGTAATTTCCTGTTATGCTTGAGTTTCCTCAGTTCATGTTTTGATCTGCAGCCGACCTCGGGATAGGTACCGTGAAAGGGAAAATGGGAGGTCAGGTAATGAAGGGAGTGCAAGAACAAGCACTGGGAGCTTGCAGTCTGAAATTAGTGCCACAACTTCTATGGCAGCCGCGCCAACTGTTGTCCTGTCTGGCTCCAGGTCATTTTCTGGTCAGCCGCCAACTATTCTACAATCACGTGAACGTCTTGATGAATGTGGCAGCAGTTACGATGAAAATTTAGATGGAAGCAAGGATTCAGGAGAGACAGGTAGTGTCGGAGATCCAGAGTTGGTTTCAGCATTTGATGGGCATTCTGGTGGTTTTGGGTCAGCTCAGAGGCATGGATCTAGAGGGAGCAAGTCTAGGCAGCTAATGGAACGAAGAGAAAGGGATGGCAGGCGTGAAGGAAAGTGGGAAAGAAAACATTCATGATACATGACTGTATGCTTAATGAGTTTGTAATGGTTCATGGACTCCAGAGGTTGTTGCATTGCCAAATAGGGGTAGTTATATACCTCACAGAGGAATCCAAAGGTAAAGAAAGTATTCAGAACATATCCGGAAAGAAGGAATTGGCCCAAAAAGTTTAAAGACAATTAGATTGGTGTTGTAGGACAGTGAAGAAATTCTGTTTAGGTATGCTCTTTTAGGTGTTTCAGAGTATGACCGTTGAGCTCTTCTGTTGTTGTAGCTTTATCATTGTTGATTTATTAGAATTATAACATCTTGTTCTCTCACATTGAAGAGAAAAATGTATATGTAAAGAAAGGTACATAATCTCATATGATACTCCATCAGCCTTCTGCTTGTGAATAATTAAAACTTTCCAGTTTAAAGGGAATCTAATTGTGCCAAAATGTCTTTTAGTATTTTTCTGGGTTTTATTCTGATTTTCTGTTTTGAAGCATAGTGTATTATTGAACGAACTGCTCCGTATTGGTGTAGATGCTGAAGCTCTGATACGCTTCCATTAGCAGATATCTTTTGAGGGTTTAGGATTTGGAGTCTGCGTTTTGACCCAGTCATGGTGATTTATATTTTCTAATGGTTAATTTCAGTAAATTACCAAATACTATTGTGTTTACAATTTTTTTTTTTTTTTAAATTTCGAGTTGTAAATACAAAATTACACCGTCTGTAAAAATTAGGGAATACATTCATAATTTGAAACTTATTTAATTCAACAGTTCTATTAATCAGTATACAAGTATTTAATGTAATAATTAATTAAAATAAAGAGTAATTAATGAAGTAATAATTTATTATTTTTTACTTGAAATAAATCTTTTGAGAAGATTATACAAGTAATTTAAAAAAAAAAGTAGCGTGACTTTCAACAATAATTTTAATTGTAAAAAATTCTTTTTTTGACATAAAATGTTGCTGATGTTTATAAATTGGGAAAAATGTTGTTAAAATAAATTTGTAATTCCTTTACTCAGAAATATAATTATATTAAAAAATAAAAATAATTAAATTAAAAATTATTGTTCTAACTTTATCTTGTCTAAAATTATATTTCAAACTAAATACAGTTGCAAATAATTTTCAATAGTTGGAATAAATTTAGAATTTTATAAAATTCATTTGTAAATTACATTTTATATATATATATATAAAAAGATTTTCAATTATATAAATTGTTTGCAGATCTATTTCCCAAGAAAGCATAAATTGGATATCTTCTGAACATAAAGCCTGTATTAGAGGCTTCTCTTTCTCTCCTTCTCACTTCACTCTCTCCACTATCTCCATCAAACTCAAAATCATTTTTCTAATTGCAGATCAGCTCTCCCGTTGCGAGGTTTCTCGCAGTTCCATTTTCTCTCGTGATATATGTTCAATTTTTTTTTTAAAATTGTCGTTTAATTCTAGTACATCACGATCTCACTTTCTGATTCCTGAGAAATTGATCCCCTTCTCCAATTTTTAGCTCGGCGTAGCTGTCTGTTTGTTTCCTGAGAAGACGTTGTAAAGAAAATAAGGTTTTTGGTTGTATTAAACTTAATTGTCGAAATGATTAAAAAATGATGGAGTTGTAGAATGACAGAAGCAAAGTTGTATTCTCTGTAGGAAATCAAACAGGAGGAAACGAAGTTTTCAGAGAGGAAGGGGGAAGGAAGGAGGACTTAAGAGGTAAGGAATTCTTATTCGTTCCAGCATGAGAAGTACCACTTCCTCTTATCCTGTTTCTGTTTGATTAGGCTCCTAACCTCCCAGCTGTTTGTGGAAATTCCTCAATTATCTTTACTATTTTTTGCCGTATCATTCGCTTAGCTGTTGGTTTACAAAAAGGACTGCTTCAGAACCTTTCCGTGGTTTTAAAATTCGAAAATGTAAAGCTCTAAGATTTTCTTAAAAAGTTTTAGATTTCAACGCACAAAAGTTTACTTCGCAATCTTTCTTTCTCTTTCTCGTTATTCTTTCCTGTCAATCCTGTCTGCATTGAACTTAATTATCTCAAGCAATTCTATGCCCCAAAATGTTTTGATAAGAAACATCTGAATGTTGTTCTGTACTTCGTCAAACTTGGTGTTTCATAATGTTAATGTTAAATTAATACTGCATATACTTGCTACATGACAGTAAAATAAGTGTCTCTATGACGATATAAGTGATGAAACCTTAGTTTTGCTGACCATGGATATCTAACCCTTTGTTAACAACGACAATAGTGAAAGTGTCATTTCAACTAATACTTGTATGTGGATAATGGGTGAGCTCTTATAACTAGTTAATTTGGGTCTACCTACTAGGGACCAGTAATTTCTGTTTCATTTAAAATTGTATTTTCAGCCCAAAAGCGTTAACATACTAAAGCCATCTGGTTTTGTTTGTCTTTTCAGCATATAAGCCCGTAAGGATAATAAGTTCATGAAGCATTTGAGTATTAAAAAATAAGTAAATGATGTTTGATTGTTGTATACGTAATGGCGTGAGTGTTTGGTAAAAATGCTTATAAATAAAAAGTTGGCAAAATAATTAACAGTTTCACATTAAATTTTTTATGGATAGCTTACCATGGCAACAGTTAGAAGTTTGAAAATCAAGACAGCTACTTGTAAAAGGATTGTCAAAGAGCTGCGTTCCTACGAGAAAGAAGTGGAAAGAGAAGCTGCTAAAACTGCAGATATGAAGGAGAAAGGGGCTGATCCTTTTGACCTAAAACAACAGGTATGAGTCAATATTTATCCCCTTCTATTTTAGAACGCACATTTACACTAACTTTAATTTAGGTGGTTATTGATATTGAATTGGCTGTTACCAGCACAAATTACTAGAAAATTTCTTACAAATTCTTTGGTTTTTAACTTAAAAAATCTAGTTAGTATGTTAAGTTGTTTTCTTCATCCTTTTGCTTCAACTGGTACACCTAATATGTCATTTCTATTGCCCAGTATCAGGCCATCTGTTAGACTTGATACTTGTCCACATTAATGAGAACCCTGATAAGACACTAGATTGCCTAGTCTATGGGATTGATTGGATGCCATTAATACTAATTTGTGGCTACCTTATCGCTCTACTTCTTTTAGGTCACCTACATTCAAGTGTCAAGTAATAGGTGATAAGAATAAATCTTTCTGATGTTATGCAATATCTTATTTATTGTGTCTAAGACAATTCTGGATGAGAAGGAACAATTTCCTGGTTCCTAAACTGATTTGACTCTTTTAATACTTATTGGCATTCTCAATGGAGAAATAGGCTATTCAATTTATGAAGTTTGGTTATGGAAGTCTTTGTTGTTTCAAGTAAGGTCTGTTTCTGCTTTGACAGGAAAATGTGCTGGCTGAATCAAGGATGATGATTCCAGATTGCCACAAGCGCCTGGAAGCCTCATTGGATGATCTGAAAGGAACTTTGGTACTGTTGTCATTAGTTCTTATTATGCATGCCGAACAAAAAAGTTTATGTTCCAATAGCATTCTTGTTTGAGTTTGTTAGACCTCGTATTAGGTGCTTGAAGTTTGATTCTGAGCATGAGAAAACTGCATGACTTCTAAACCCTATTAATGGGTTGTTGCTGCATGGTAGATTCAAGCAAATTATGCTGGCCCAAATTTCAAGTGGAGGATAGTGTTCATTTTATTTCTGGGCTCTGCTGGGGGTGTTAGTGCTCTTGTGCAACCAGACATATTCACTGGTTTATTTTGTTCCCCATTTTGACATGCATTCTTTAAGCACATCTTACCTAGGAAGGAAATGCTCTGTTATGCCTTTTAGTGAACATATAAAATGGATGTTATATTCCGATTATGTGTGATAGTTGCTGAAATACACTCGTAGAGTGTATGCAGAGTAAGCTCCATTGCCAATAATTCTGCTCATCCCAGGAGAGTCATCTTTTTTGTATCTAATATAATCCAGTTGCTTTTTTCCATATATAGATATCCTGTATGAAACTTTAAGTTTCCACATGTTAGCACTGAAGGAAAGATATAACCTGTATTTGATACAACATCTTAGAAAAAGAAAGTATAGCTCTTGTAAAGTTGAGGGTGACGATACCAAAGTAATGTAAAATAAAGTTATCACCGGAAGGTGGAAAAATAAAACGGAGTACATGGATAAAAGCAAAAGTAGTTTTCATGGTAAAACCACAATGGAGTATCTGTTTCCTCAGTTGTTATCTGAATGATTCATCTTGGTGTGGGGTATGCCGCAATATCTGTGTGTGCGTGTGCATGTGAGGATTTCTTTATTTGATAAGTTGTTAAGTCAACTCAGACTGCATGTTAAACAATATGTTGTCATCCAGGTGGAGCTAGAGGAGGCCGGTGAGAAGGTGGGCCCAGAAATTGAAGATGCTCGAAAAACTATAGAGGAGGTTGAAAAGTTGTTCCAAACAGTAGAGGCCTAGCTTCACAGCTCATGCTAAGAGATTTTGAAGTGGGGTCATTTCTATTCTTGGTCAGCGGGTATTTGATACTCTTTAAAACCTTGCTTGGTATATGGCATGTTATTCCATACCAAGAAAGATGTGCCAACTGCTTTTTTTTTTGCTGTTAATGTTTGTAACTAACATCTTTTTGTTGCTTGCCAAGGTACTAAAATATGTAGTAGTTTACAATGATGATTGTGTTGGATGACAAGTAAATAGAACTATGGAATTGATGCCGTGTCAGGATCTATGGCATTGTAGTGTTAAGTGAACTCTAGTACTAATTGGTCCCCTTTAGAGCACCATGTTTTTAAGCAAGAATTTGGTCAAGATTCATGAAGAAAATGTTAAATTAAACCCAAATCAAACATCAGCCTTGAGATGATGTTATTATCTATTTGTTCTAGTGGAAGACAATTATCGTTCCATGGATGTCTGCTCAGTTGAATTTTTTCTCATGGATCACGAATTTTGGTGCATAAAGTCTCCCACGTCGGTGATAATATGCAATCACGATCTAGTTGGACAGAAATGAATCAAAACTCTTTAAGAGCTCTCAAGAAAATAAAAATAACTAAAAAAAAGAACTTAGTGTTATATGATCGGGAGGTTTTATCCTCCGAAAAGGAATGTCCGTTGCTGAGCCAGCGAATCCCAGAAGCTTTGCCCTCTGCATCTCCCAAGTGAGAGCTCTACTTTGTTAGTGAATTCTTTTTAATGGAAAGAAACTAGAGAGATGTAAAGGGAGATTCTGTACATAATACCAAATGTTTTACAACATTGATGAGATATGGTAATGTCATTCTTTGTTCTTAAATTAATCATATTGGTTTCTGTTCTTTTTTTCACAAAGAATTACGGGATCCTTTCTTAATCTTCCTACGGAACGGCTTGCAAGCTTCAATGCTGAGATCAACTGCTGCTGCAAGTGCCATGAAGATGGCAGCGTCCTCCACGCATGTCACATGTCTCATGGCCAGTTGTACCAGTGGCTTGCTGCTCTTTCCTTCGCCTTGCACTCTGCAGCTCATCACAAAACCACCAACAACTGGAGCCAAGCCTGAAAAGTCTCCACTACTCTGCGGACTTGGTATTGGAGTTGCTGCTGTTCGCATTTGTCTATCAGTATCAATGAAAAACTCCCCACCCTTCTCAGCGTTAATAAGTATCTCAGACATCAGAACCCCTCCTCCCTCCTGGCCTTCAGAAAGTAGATGAAATCGGCAGCAAACAGAATCTCTGATGCCACGCTCACGCCATGCCTCCAGCTTTCCCCATGGTTGCCAGCTCTCAGGCCTGCAAACATCAGGGCGAACAATCAACCAAGCTCCTGGGTTAGACCTAGCAACCCAGTCACAACCTGATGATGGCACAAAGGGAGTTGTTATGAAGGCTGCTGCAACAGCCGAACCAGAGAGATCATGTATCTTCACCTTCCATCCTTTTCTCTCTCTTCTCTCTGTCTCTAGATCGGAGCTGTCAGCAGAACCTGACCAGTAAGCAGTCAATGGATCCAGCTGCGGTACCCTGCCAATTTATTATAACTACAGGAGTTTCATTAAAAATTTAACTAACCCATATAAGAATTTTTCACAGTTTAATCAAGTAGACATCTATAATTCTCTCGAATGATTTATCGCATATTCGTATCTCCTATAACCATTTACATGTCAACCAAACTCCAAAACAACTAATGAATATGAGAATGAATAGAAGCTTTAAAGCATTTTAAAAAAATGAAAAATAATAAAGAGAAACTTTTAACTTGCAAGGAAAATAAGACAGCTTGACATAATGCACATCACCTGTCTCGACTAAATTTGCAACTAAAAATTGGTTGCTTGATGGAGCCTCGGAGCTGAACAATCTGAGGGCTTAAAGTGGTAACATCTTCAAACTGAAAAACATATCTTGGATCGGGATCCAGTTTCACTCTCAAGTGAAGCTCAACTCCTGGCTTCCCACTCTCCTGCTTGCTTTTGCCAATGCCTATCCAACCATTGAAAAGGATTACTGGCTTACCTTCACACCATTCAGGACCAACCTCTAGCTTAAATGTCCCAATTTGCTGCCTTTTGGTCCCAACTCCGCAATGGGATCCCTTCCTCCCTGAGAATACAGCAATCTCCAAACATGCATGAGGACTATAGAAGCAACCAGGTGCCAATAGTGCTTTCAGATCAGATTCTTCAAGATAAAAGCTTGAGGCAATGCTATGAGTATCAGGAATGGCTTCAGGTGAAGACACAAATGGGATCGATGATGTTTGAACAGGAAAACCTTGAAGTTTTATCTCACAAGAACATGGAGAAGATAATGCCTGGATCCCAGATTTGGCAGAATTCAAGTTGGCTCCAGGAATCCTCAGCCCAAGTGAGCCTATTGACAACCTAATGAAAGCCTGAGGATCCATTCTTGTCAAAAGATATTTCTCATTGGATCAGAAGCAATATGCATAACTTCTCAATAACCCTGCATCAATATGCATAACTTCTCGATAACCCTGTTATAAGAGTAAGTGATATCAAAAGTCACGAAACATGACATTGCCAGCTTGTAGGAGAGAAGATGTGAGAATTAATAAATTCATATACTTAATTTTTTCAACACATGACCAAAAGATTAGAGTAGCACAAGAAGCATTTTAACATCCTTCACGTTGGGATTTTAAGTGGCGTAAGATGAAGATGATTTGGTTAGGAAGCTTCAATCACCGGTATTTAACACCACAAAAATATTGTTTTTAACCACAAAGTAGATATATTTACATTTCAAACATAAGAAGCTTCCAAATGTTTCAAAAACAGAGCAGTAACTTAGCTAGCTTTTAGTATGTAAACCATTATTTTCTGATGATCAAGTAGTTAATTGTGCAAAGTAACAAAAGGTTATGTCTATGTATATCTTGGTTTATATGTATATATGTACTTACAAAAGATTTTTTAGTGTGTAAACCATTATTTTCTGATGATCAAGTAGTTAATTCTACTAAGTGACAAAAGGTTATGTCTCTGTATATCTTGGTTTATACATATATATGTAATTACATTCAGATTGTTCTGGTTCAGTTGTCAATCCACAATAATGGGTCTAGAATAAACAATTTTATGTGTGTTGGATTCATATTGCAACAAGTTACAATCTAAGGTGGCTTGATATTGCAACAAGTTACAGTTACTTGTATTCTCTCCAAGTCTAAATTTCCAAGCACTTCTTAATCCTCAAAAACAATTCACAGGTTACAAAAATTTAGTTAAGTCAGCAATGGTTAAATCCTGGAGAACAGATCATACAAGACCATAATTAGACAAGAAAACTTTTTTAGATCGGAGCAAAATAGTATGAAGATTGCAATAAGTGCAAATAATGAATATACATGGCCAAGCATCAAAATTCAACATTCTGTTAATGAAATTAGACTGGAAAGTTAAATAACTTTCCCTTTCTTGTTTTGAGATGGAGTGGGATAAGACTCGAATTCAAGCTTTAACAATGAAGTCTCATGCCATTTGAACTACATACTCTTGACTTAAATAACTTTTACTACTTAATCTGGTATTTTAATAACTTTTGTCTATTCAAAAAAGAAATAATAATAATTGCAAACCATTTATCGCCCCCTACCTCATCCTTCCACCCACAAGCACCTTGTAAACTCCAATCAGCTTCAGCATCACTGAAGGTTAATATGCAATTCCACTATCATCTAAGCCCGACATTATTAATACCAACTGTCCTTCCTATGGACTGCTGCTGTGGATTTTGATACAGGCGGGTAAACTACATTATTATTAATTGAGTGAACACAACCATGCAACCCAAGCATCTTATCACTTTAGAATGGTAAATGAGACATAAGTGAATGGAAGAACTTGATAAGAGGTGTGATTCACTTTAGTTTGAGTTTGCAACACCAATAATTCACTCCACCAATTCAAAGCAGCAAATCATTATTGATACTCAACCTTTCATTAGAATCAAAACTATGTTTCTTCTCCCAAAGAAGGTTCTACACTTCAACATTTGGCTTTAGAACACAAAACGTACAACACAATAAATTGATAAACCAGATTACTTGAGTCACATGCAAGGGCCATTTTTGTCAGAAATGTTTGGTAAAGAGTACTGCAGGAACAAAAATTTGTTAGTTGCATTTCCCTTACAAAACTCTAATTTTATCAATTTACATCAATCTTCATCTCAATCGGGATACTAAGACGTAGGATGAAAAGAAGAATCAAGTGGAAAGTGGAACCCTATGATCCCCCATTTATATATATAGATAATGAAATATGTCAAGAATATCAACTTTTCAACTCAACCAACAGTATTAGGCCAACTGAAATATTAGATCTTTTGCCCCTTTCAATCCTACTCCCGCGAGTGATAACACTGGTACATAAGAAAATTTAATATTATTTTCATCTCTTCCACTTTCCCTCCAACCAAGCAAGAAACTTGTACTTCTTAACCTATCAATTGAAGTAAGCAGAGAAGCCACAAAGGAATTCAGTAAGTTCTGTTATTTCCGTCCCCTATAACCATATATTTCCAGCTTAAACTAACTAATTCTTCTTCAACCAACAAAAAAAACCATAAACGAAAGTCAAAGTTGCAGAAACTCGGAAATCACTCACAAAGAGCTAATCAGCGTAAAACATAAACAATTAAACTCGACGCTAAGTGGAAAAGAAAATGAAGACTCACCTCAAATAATAAATAACAAGAAGCTGTCTCAGCTACAGAACCAGGAAAATCGACTCCATGGAAACGAATTTCACTCCGAAGAATTGAAGTCCGGTAGAATATTGAAAGCAGTAGAAAATCAAAGAGCATAAAGATTAAACATCAAGTAGGAGGAGAATGTGAACAATAATTGCAGGAGGAAGAAGGAGCAGGAGCAGGAGTTGGTGGTATTATGGTTGAAGAAACGAGAAGCGACGACGGAATACAACAAGAAAGCATATATGGGATTTCACGTTACCAATTTGCACGGATCACGAGGAAACAGTTCTTCTTCTGCTCTCTCTCTCTCTCTCTGTATGTATCAGTGTAAGCATCTGCGTAAGTATACACCTATCCAATGAAATTCGCATTATTTATCACGAAATAGACGGAGAAAGTAAAGAATTTTCTTTACACACACACACACACACACACATATATATATATATACACCGCAAATATATATATATATATGTATTATAATTGTATATTAATTAATTAATAGATGAAGCGGAGAAAATAGAAGATAATTGAGAGTTGGTGGGTTTGATGAATGAATATTATTATTATTATTTTTAAATATATTTTAATAATTAATTAAAAATAAAATTATTAATTTATAATATTATTATATATATTTATTTTAGAAAAAGAAAAAGAATAATAATTAAGGACGTGAATACAGCTGGAGGCAACGGTGCATTGGAGCATACAAGAAGAAGGAATCGCTTTCAGACACATATGCCTGACTTCACCTTCTTAACTGTCCTTTACTTACTTTCCTATTTTATTATTTTTATTTTTTATTTATTTTTTATATTAATGTATTTAAATAAATTTTATGAAAATACTTACAAATTTTATTTATTTTATTAAGTTGTCTATTATTGCAAGATACATTCCAAGATTCTCAAACTTTCAAAATTCTTAATTTTAAATTAAATAAATAAGTGGTCAAGTATGTCAAATTTAAAATTTTTTAATATGAAATTTACACCACCAAAAATCTAATTAGAGGTTAATTAAAAACTTATTTAAGAAATCTCTAACTATAATCTATTCACAACGATTATTCTCGAATGTGAAATTTTTTATTATTAATACATATTTAGTTGATAATAATGAGAATATGAAAACCAATACGTTTATATTTTTCAATTGACAATAACCCATTAAAGAATTTTTAAAATTAGATTGGACGAGAAGAGATTTTGTATATTTTGAGTTTCATTCAACAACTTTACTTAAAACCCTTTTTGGGAGTGTACTTATAATCAATATGTTAAAATTTTACTCTCAATTAAAAAAAAACAGAAAAGTAAACTAGGTACAAAAGTAAAGAAAAAATATATAAATTAAACAAAAATGAATTGAATATTGTTAAAGTTAATCGATCCTAAAAAATATACATATATGAACAGGACAAAAACTTGATAAAGCGGTCTATCATGAATCAAAATATGAAAAAATTAAATAACTAACATTTTAGTACAAGTATCAAAATGATAAAAGTAGACATTCGAGATAGAAAACATGTTTGTATCAACCACTGAAATTTTGAGTCAAAAGTTAATTACAAGAATGAAAATTCTAAAAAGGTATAATTTGATACCAAAAGAATACATCAAGGATTGCATTCGAATAAGTGCAAATGAAAAATAAAAGGAGAACAAGAGCGTAAAGAGACAAGCAAAAACAAGAAAAACAGAAAAAGAGAGGGGAAAAAAGGTTTAAAATCTTTTTCTTAATAACAAAAAAAAAAATTATCCCACCGAAATAAGAGAAAATAAAATAGAAAAACTAAAATAAGTCCACTACATAAAAAGACAACTTACTCCGCAAAAGAAAAAAGTACAAGGGACATGTAACAATAACATTAAAGATAAACAACCAAAAGACTATCAAGCTTAACATCTTGTTCCAGAGAAAATTGAGTAACAAAAATATATTTTAATATTTTGTTAAGAGAAAAAAGAATATGTGTATGACATTTCAAATACTAATTAAGACAACTGGGTGTCAGATACATATTCAGAATAACGAGTGCATGATAAAAGTTATGCAGTGGAACAAAATTATTACAAATCTCTTACAAATATATATGAATTCCAAATATATAGATAAACTGAGGTCATGAGTAGTTACAAAATACAAAATAAAATGGTCATTTCTTTCACTATGCTAGTGTGCGGGAACAGTCATGCACGTAAACTTATAGATCCACAAGATCCTCATAAACTTCCAATGGTAGGTCTACCTGCGGTTCCTCACTTTTCTTCCTCATTTGGAGGGCATAAAAAGAGTAAGTTTTATATGTTCAATAAGAAAAACAGTTTTAAATTAATATCGTAAAATTTTAAAAGTTGATTATTTTATATTATCATTTAACTTCATTGTTCACCTATCTCACATTACGAAAAATTATTTATTTATTAAAAAAAAGATACATTAATACAAAAAATCAAATATACATCATGCTAGATAATAAAGAAAATCAAATAAATCATAAAATACTCAGATTTTTATGTCATGCTTTGCGAAATTGTTACAACTTTAATCTTTGAAGATAGATATAGATTTCCAACTACTCAAGTGAAATGATTAGATCAGATACAAATACGACAATTTGCTTAGACCAATTTCAAGCTGGCTAAACCATGGTATAATCTATGATCACGGTCGTACCAGCCATAGTGACCATAATACATATATATATATAATCATGATATTACTTAGTCACGGGTAACCTCTACAGATAGTGCGATACAACTCTCGTTAGGGAGTGCGTCGTAATCAATTAAGAGTGGTCCTCTTACGTCTTTTCAGACCAGATAGGGGAGGGAGAAACAGATATCCCGAAAGATAAGGAGAACAGATACCCTTCAGATATAAAACATCTAACGAGACACTTGATGCAATATACATATCAATATAGATACACTTCGGACTATACAAGCTTTATTACACTTTTTTTTTCTTTTTACTTTTATTGTTACCGATTACATATTATATTTATTACATGCAAATTCATTAAGTGTCTGTACTTCACATAACAAATCTAACGAGACACTTGATGCAATATACATATCAATACAAATACACTTCAGACCATACAAACTTTATTATACTTTTTTTTTACTTTTATTGTTAACGATTATATATTATATTTTTTACATGCGAATTCATTAAGTGTCTGTAATTCACATAACATGTTTTAAAATAAGAACAATTCGACTCATCTGATCATAGAGGTATATAAAATAGACAAATTAACAATCATATTAAATTAATTTATCTAAAAATACTCTTTAAGATGTCGAAAAAAATACTAGATTCTTTATCAAAACTTTAATGTTTTCTCTTTCATCGTTCTTCTTTCTTTCTCTCATTCTCTCACTAAACTATTATCTTTCTCTCCCTTTCTCTTTCTCTAAACCTTTAAAAATGGAAAAATGAAAGTGTGGAAGTGTGGAGATGAAGGGAAGGGGAATGATAATTTATAGAATTTCGAAACTATTAGATTCGTGCAAAGTGGTGAAATTCGGTGAAAAGAGAAGAGAAAAATATGATCGGTAAAAAAAATGAGGGAGGAGAGCCTCCTCCACCAGCGCTGGATTGCAGGCTAGTTTGTAGGCGCACAGGCTTCCTGCCGCGCGTTCAAGAATTTTTCCTAGCACCCGTGCAGGCAACCAGCTTTCTCGCGGGATTTTTCCCACATGAATTTTTTTCGTTTTGCCGTTTTTTCGATTTTTTTTAAAATTTTTATTTTCAATTTTAATTTAGTTAAATTAAAATTGTTTAAAATAAAATTTAAATAAAAATTAAAATCAACCAAAGTTATGAATCATGATAAATACTAAACAGTGTAAATTAATTAAGTTTAAAGCGGCTAAATATCCGAAAAATAGAATTTTCAAATCATTTTAGCACAATGTGCGTTAAAATCTTGTTAAAAAAAAGTGTAATATCAGCAAAAAGTTTTCTTAAAAATCTTGTCATGTGAAATTAAATTAATAGACTTTAAAAATTCATAAATAGACAACGTAATATAATAAAAATATATCTTAATATCTCATCATAAAAAAGTTAAATTATCTACTTTAAAATCTCATATAAAAAAAGTAAATAATAAGGTGTATATCAAAATATTTTACGAGAAGATGAAATAACATTAAAGTTTATCTTGAAATCTTGTCTGAAGAACAAATTTTATTATACTTTGATATTTTGTCTAAAAAGATGAAGAACAAATAAGAGATTTATCTTAAATTTCTTCAGGAGAATGAGTTAAGCTCAATATTAGAGTTTCATAGGAAAACATAGATTATTATGCCATAACAATATCATTAAATTTTAAAATCTTATTAAAAGAAATTAGGTTTTTCATCTTAAGATATCGCTAGGCTAAGGTAAGAAGATTACATATGAAAACGAAAAAGAGAGAAAAAGGAGTTAAATAAAGAAAGGGGAAAAAAAAGGAGAAAAAGTGCATAACTTTTCAAACTCTTATGGACAAAATTAGAATCATTATAATCTCTTATCTTCTTTTACAAAAGTCTAAATAAATACGGATTACAATCATATCCTAATTTCATTCGGGTCAATTTTCTCCGAATGCTTTCCCAAAACAATTGTGAGAATAAAGTTTTTTAAAAAGAAAAAATTTAGAAACTACTAATCTAATTTAGGAACCCAAATTTAGTCTCAAATATAGATTTTACCGAACTCATTCTTGAAGCCCATTTCAATTTGCCTAAAACCTATTTCCATTTCCAAATCCCTAATCAATTAAACCCTTTTTTACTCATATCAAACCCATTTAAAATTTAAATTCATAAGCTCAATTAATCTCTCTAAACATCCATTAATCCATCTCATTAAGCCCATTTTCGCAAGCCCCAAAAACGGCGTAGTATTCGGACCAAAAACCTAAGCCCAGCCCGTATAAGCCTCTCTTCCCGCCGAAAACGGTACCGTTTCAATTTCCCTTCAAGCTTCTGATCGACAAATGAAACACACACAGACAGGGGGTTCTGCAAGGTTTCTCGAAAGCAGACTAAAGGGGGAAGCTCTATGTCGATGATGGAACGATTAATTTTGATGGTGTATTGATGATGATTGGATGCGTTTAGGAGCCCGCTCAGGCAAGAAAGAAAACAGAAGAAAGGTGCGCGTCTGAGCTGGAAGTGTAAGAGACTGAGAATGCAGGTGCTCGTGAATGGCAGGGATCTGTTGAAAAAAAGGGACAGCTCTGTGGAAAAAGGGTTTCAATTAGTGTTTATTTTCAAAGGTAACAAAGAGGAAGATTCCGGGGATTTTGTGTGTGTTAACAGGATATTTGGGAATGCAAAGGAAAAATTTTGAGTGAGGGATTAAGAGGGAATCAGGTAGTAACCAAAAGCTAGAATCAAGGGAGAGAAAGAGCAAGTTTTTAGAGTTTGGAAAGATGAAGTATGTGGTAGACAAGGGGTAAATCGCATTCCTCTCATCCTTTACTGCTTTGTTATTTCCATTTTTTGTATCTGAAATTGAGAAGAAATGAAGTCAGCTTTCACTTTTGATACGCATGACTGAATGGATTGGTTATTAGCTGCTCCTTTATTTTTATTTTTACTTTTCTTTTCATTTTTCTTTCCTTTTCTTTTCTGTTCTTTCATGTTTGGCTTCTGTTTGATGCTATATTACATTACCAGTTTTTCCAGGTCTGTTTAGCTTATTTTTCTTTATTCTGCTTCAGTTCATTTTGATTATCAGGTTAGAAAACGGATGTGGATTACTGAGTGAAAGATCAGTGAATTGAGAATTCTTTTAAGCTGTTCTAAAGTATTGATTGGTTGAGACATGCTTTGAGGGTATATTTCATGTTAGGTCTTTATGTTTAGTTGGTGAATACTTAATCCGGGGATTTATTGACCAATTAGGCTTAGCGAGTTTCTGTTTTGTGTCTTGTGTCCTTATCCATTGCATGGCATGGTCTTACATGCCTCAAAACCATATAGCAGCAAGGTGTAACTGGCACAAAAACTAAGTTGATAGCGCAGGTGTAGTCAGTCATCTTTGAACATTTTTCACCATTTCATTTGTCGTCACAGACTCACAAGTTTTTCGATTTTTATCCAGGTCAGCATGATGAAAAGTTGGATATAATTTATGCATTTTAGTGTTAACATGCTAGGAAAAGTATTCAGTGTCTCTCAAGTTGGTTTTGTTGCTGTTATGGTCAGTTGCTATATGATGTTTTCTTATTTTATATTTTGCTGTTTTCAGAGATTCGAAGTGTATGTTAATATGCCTGTACCAAAAAAAAGCATGAATTTTCATTATGTTGGTTCTTAAAAAGCACTAGTTTGGTTTTGGGAACACTCAGAAGATGACTGTGTCGCATATGTTTTCTGCCTGTTACCTGTTTGAGAAAAAGACTGAAATACATAGGAGCTGTTCGGTAAAATGATCCTAAGAAAACTGACTTATTTGCCCGGAAAACTGGCTGTCTATGATTCATTTAATAATGTTTGAAAGTTCAATAAAATTAGGTTGTTTTTGGTTTAAAGATTTGGTCAATCTTTTCTGCCTTAGTTACGGTGACATAGTACTTCCAACACATCTGTCTGAATTACTTCTTTGATGAAGTTCGAGTTATTTACTATTTATAGTTATATCTAGACTTTATCTTTGTTAATGGCTCATCTAAAAAAAATGGATTTGGTGCGTGCATCGCATGAAGGGGCTGATTTGAGATATTTCAATCCTTTAAAATAGGTTCTTATGCTTGGGTGCGTTCTAGATCATAAATAGAAAATCTTTAGCCAAAGTCACTGAGTCTATTCCACAGGGTGAGTGGTTTGCACCTTCTAATTCGGGACCATTTTTAAACCCAAATTTGTCTTTTACACTAGTTTATGTCGTAGGTCTGAGTCTGCTTCCCACAAGATTAGTGTCACCTCTTCCCTCTTGAAAATTTAAAAGATAACTAGTTATTTTTTTGAGGGGTTGCAAGATGTTTCAGCTGGGACAGACGGAGTTCAGGGAGATGGGCTGAGAGAGTTGCGGATTATAGGTTAGGACTTTTAACTAGTGTGCTGGCTTTTTAGTTGGTGGGCTTTATGGGTTGGGGAAGTGCTGGTTTTGTCCTGGACCATAACTGATGGTCCAGTGAGCTTCAGGTCACTGTTTCAGTGGTTATAATCAATATTGAACCATAAAGAAAACAGTGGAAAATTACTGCCATGTTTGTGATGTGAACAAATCGAACCAGAAAATAAATCATGAAGCTAGCACCCAAATGGGACAAACACGATCAGCATAAAAGTCTTTGGAGATTATTTAAACTAAACAAATAAAAAATCCAGGAAATACAATGTGGAGGCATGCTGTAGAGACCAGACAAGGGCAAAGTCACAGATGAAGCTGGAGGAGCTGAGATGAGGAGGGTAAGGTGGCAGCAACTTTTAACCACTGAATCGGAGACGGCCCTCGTGTGCCGTGGCGTTTGCTTGGCTGTTGCTGTTTGACAGAAGAGAGTAAGCTGATCACATTAAGACGCTTGGCCTTGCTCTATGCAACGTGCAAGACGGAGACATGAGAGTGAGACTCAACAAGAGAGAGCGGTAAACACGGGGAGCAAACAGAGAGTGAGTCGGGACAGACGGAGTTCAGAGAGATGGTCTGAGAGGGTAGGTGAATGGAGGTTAGGGTTTCTAATGCGGTAGGTTTCTAGTTGGTGCTAGGTGAGATGGGGAAGGGCTGGGTTTGTACCGGACTGGAGCTAACTTGTACGCTGTCTGTCTGTTCCTTTTGTGAATCTGTTTAAAATTTCGGCCCAATCAAATTTTAAACAGTTGAACAACTTAACCAAGTTATGTAAAAGGCAAGTTATAATTAAATTGAAAAATAAAGGACATTTGTAGTACTTCAGAATGCTCACTGGCACTGGCAATCACATTAAAATTAAAAATCAGGTCTGTGATTATAATGTTCTTGAGGCAGCAATTTTTTCTTTTCCCCAATCAAGATATGAAATCTTGTCTTCCCGTTCTTGTTCTATCTGTAATGTTTTTTTAAATTGTAAAGCCATTATATGATTTATCGAAGCTATTATATCTGCAATATTTCTGTTATTTTGTGATGAATCATTTTCTGACAGGAAGTCTCTGTTTTCATGGTCCAGTAGACCCAAAAGGAAAAAGAATTCCTCAAACTCAGACAATATAGAGAATGCAGCTTTCCCTGGTATTTCTCTTCCTACCACATGATCCAGTAAGACAATTGGTGTTCTTGTTTTTGTTCTTCCCTGGTAATTTCATTTCCTACACTGTGGTATAGGTCAAGCAACAAGTGAAGGGAAAGGGGCATTATACCATTGTAATTACTGCAACAAAGATATTACCAGCGTGGTCCGTGTTAAGTGTGCAGTTTGTCCAGATTTTGACCTCTGTGTGGAGTGCTTCTCTGTAGGGGCTGAAGTTACTCCTCACAAGTGCAACCACCCTTACCGGATTATGGTTAGTTCCCAAATTCGCTATCATTCATTTTCTTAATTAACTTTGCATTTCAAGTGGTGGCATGAATGATTTCAAGCAGTTGTATCACGGGTGTGCTAAATCTTAATTCATCAGTTATTTTCCTCTTCCAAATTTCAAAAAGCGAACATTGGTTTCTGGATGTTCCTAGTATAGTTTCTTCGTCCATTTCAACAATTGAAGTATTTTTTTAAAACTTGTTAGAAATATATTTTTCAGTTTAATTTAGAATTCATCCCAATGGAATTTGAAATTAGTCTCTAGTTCCACTTAAAATTCATTACAGTTGAATTTTCATCTTTTTTGGAGTCAAATTTTTGTATCTCATGATTGAACTAAATACAGCTATTATGAACTAAGTGTATATTTCCAAATGAATTCTATATTACTCTTAAGTTCAACTGTACCATGTCACATTGTGGGTGTTATTACTCTCTTCAGCGGAGATGGTGAAGGGGGGTGGGTGCTGGGGACTAATAAATAACATAGAATTTTTGTTCCAAGAAAACCAAATAAGCCTAGCAGAAAAGTCAAATGCTATCCAGGCTACAGAACAAAGAAAAGTACGAGCTGATAAATTAATTTGTTTCTATGCAAGTGTTTCAAACCTTCACGAACAGAAACCTTATATTTGAATGTCGAAATGATATTGGAAACAAAAGATAATCTTCGTATGAGTGTGTTCCAAACCTACACAAATGGAAAACTTATAGTCAAACACAGATGAAATTGGAAACAAAAGCTAATCTGCATAACAGAAATGAAGATGCTATTCCTTCTATTCAAATCTGGATAACAAAAATTAAAATATAAAAAATATATGTACTTTTACTTCCGCTGGTACATCTTTAGGCCAACTTTTAGATGGAATTGTGGAAAAAAGTTCTTAGAAATTTGTGCTTGTCATGCTTATAAATTTTCTCTGACATTTTCTTTACAACAGGATAATTTATCTTTTCCGCTCATTTGTCCAGACTGGAATGCAGATGAAGAGATATTATTGCTTGAGGTGCTCCTATTATCATGCAAACTCAATTTCTTGAAATTTTCTTTTTACATATTTTCATATCTAATATTGTTGCTTCCTCATGAATCTGCATGATTCTTACTTGATGAGTAGCAAAATTGTATCCCAGGGCATTGATATGTATGGATTTGGGAACTGGGCAGAAGTAGCAGAGCATGTTGGAACCAAGTCAAAATCACAGTGTATTGATCACTATAATGCTGTTTACATGAACTCACCATGTTTTCCTCTCCCGGTAAGATTAGTAAAAGATCAAAATATTTAACATACACAAACCTGTCATGTGTAGGTGCCTTTATTTTTGGTAGTAATAATGGTGGTACGTTTTTCACTATTGG